TGAGGATGAATGATGTACAAATGTTAGGGCAGGGTACACCAAAAAGTGCACCCCATTTGTACACCATTATTAAATTTTTATTTATTTTTAATTTTTTTTCCACACTTGAATTTTTCTATTAGTTTTGATTATTAAAATTAAAAGTTGACATATACTCCCTACTTTTTAATAAGTAGTGATGTCATTCCGAGATCCATAGACCGTAAGTATATAGCATCTCCAAGTGACCAAGTCTCCAACCTTAAGTGACCGTAATTATAGAGCATCTCCAAGTAACCGTATGCTAACAACAACAACAATCCAATTAAATCTCATAAGAGTAGGGTTTGGGGAGAGTGTGTGTATGCAGACCTTACCCCTACTCAAAAGTAGAGAGGCTGTTTCCAAAGAGACCCCCGGCTCAACGTCGAAAGTTGCATTGCTTGACTAACTGCTACTTCATTAAGTGACCGTATGCTAAATGCTAAAAAATATTCTTTTCCTCTCAATTTAAATTGTTGGTTTCAGTTTACAATGTTTGACTGAATTTATTTCCAAATCATTATATATAAAAATGATGTAAAATTAAAAAATAAAAATTATATATTTAAAATTTGTATCAAAAGATCTACAAAGCTTGTGGTGGCATGACTATATTATTTTATCAAATAACTAACATAAATAAGAAAAGAAGTAAATGAAATTTGATCCTGCGAATAGTAAACAAGCAATTTAATTTAGGGTGAAGTAAGTAGTAATTTTAACAATTTAAATAACTCAATTGTTATTTATATAAAAAATACTTGTCATTTTAACAAATATGTTTGTTAATTAAATTTTATATTTTACACATAAATGTGAGTATAATATGAAAGTATAAAATAATTTTTTTTATTAAAAAATAATCATAGATAAGAAGTATAAATACGTATAATAGAATGGAATGGTTTCTAAAGTAGTTTAAATAATGTGATTCAATCCAAATGCCTTATGGCCATGTCCAGTGATACCTTCCACATTGTAAATTCTATCATAGTATCGGAGTCTGTTTTTAGCTCATTGTTGAGGTGTCAGTCTAAAAATTCATTCCTAGTGTTCTATTTGTCTTTAGCCAAGTTCAATCCAAGTGTCATATGACCTATTCCAATAATTCATATCCCAATCTTAAATTCTATCATGGTATCAGAGTAGGTTTTGACTCATCTCGTTTGTCAAGATCTCTGTCTAGATGTTCATTTCTACTGGCCAATTTGTCTTTAGCCCAGTTATCCATATGAAATACATATACCCAACGGCCTGTGGCCCATTTAACCCGATTGTTCGTCTGAAAGTCCGTACTCAGCAACCCAAGATCCTTAAGGTGTTGCCGCTCAAGTATTCATTTAATGAGGATGGGAATTTATTTACAAGTGGTCAACCAGTTAGATTGAAAATGGTCCAGGTGACCACTTGAGGGGGAGTATTAGAGATTATCCCACATTGGAAATCCAAGAGTGAAATAATTGGTATATAAGCTCTGGATTTGAACTAATAAATTGATTGGATTCGATTTTTTAATGTGGTTAAGTGTTTCATGGCTCAATCTAGTGATTCTTACATCATCCTAAATTCTATTAGAAAAGAAAAGAGAAAAGTATATCGTTTATCTCTGATTTTTTTGGAAATTGCACAGTTTACCCCTAAACATTAAAAAGTGCACCAAATACCTCTGAATTCCTCAGAAATTGCATGGTTTGCTCCTGAATACTAAAAAGTGGACTAAATACCCCTGAACTCTTCAAAAATTGCACGATTTATCCTTGTTATTTAAATAAACACGATAATTTTGAGGAAAGGTAGTTTGGAGAATTCACAAGATCTAGATGAATCATACTCGCAATTCTCGTGCGTGGGAGCAAACACTCCCTATCTATTATTTTAGGACCAACGATGCAAAATTTTAAATTGTTCATGTAACGCCCCAAAATATACCTTAGAATTATTAATGAATAATTATTCAATTAAACAAATTTGTTTGATTAAAATAAATTGTTTTTGGGCTTTGGGCCGACATGAAATATGTTTTGATATCGAATATCATAATCTGGATAAATCTCATAGAGATAAATCCAATATGTTGACTTACTGTGTGACCTTGATTAAGAACCTGAGAACAGACCCAAATCAAGAATAAATGAAGAATTTGTTTGTGATGTAAACTTTGAAATGATTTATTGAAATAAATCATGAGAATAAATAATATGAATGAAATGTAAAAACCTTTCTGAATAAAGGTCAACAAAATCAATTTTGACTCTGTCAAAGTCAACCACCTAAAAATATGATGTCGGAAAAAGTAGAACAAATAAATATAAAAATTATATCGTTGGATAGAGTTTAATTGTACAATCGCAACGGTGCAAACGGATTTCAATTCGGAGAAAGTTGGACCAAAAAGTGTTCCCCGACTGGGACCAAATTAGTCCCAATCAGGGACTTACGTTTAAAATCTGTAGGAACCGCAGCCCCCTCCACTGAGACGCCGAAACAGGAACGGATACATCATCACCTTGACCTCTTCCTCCATTCTTTTACTATATAAGAAACCCAACTTCACCATTTCTTCACCATTCTTCATCAAATTCATTCTGAGAGATAGCCTTGAGTGTGGAGAACGCAGTGGTGCTGTCAATTTGGTGTGAGGTCGCTGGAGTTGAGAGCTATCGTCGCCGGAAGTTTCGCGGGAAAATATTCAAAACCTTCATTAAGCTTCAAGGTAAGCCCGTAGATATATCTAAAGATTAGAATGTTCATATAGGTTGTTTTTACGTTCATAAATGGTCATTTGGTTGAGTTTTGTGTTCGACGTGTTTGAAGAACCAAGAATCATAAACCTTGAATTTGATGTTAAAAATATGTTTTGATGATCCTAAAATGATCTATGAACCTTGGAGAACATTTCTATATAGTTTAATTGAAGTTTGGTAACTAAAATTGGTATTTCCGAAAATGGACCGAAGGAAGAAGACGATGAACAGTGACCGAAAATCGATTATTATCTTCCTAAAAATCGATTAAAACTTCGTTCAGACGAGATGTTTGAAGTCAGTACCCATTTATCAAGAACAAATCGATTATTCATAAAGACCAAATCGATTTTTAATATTTAATCGATTATTCCTAAAGCACAAATCGATTTTTACTCATTAATGGATTATTTTTCAAGCAAAAATCGATTTTTATGAATTAATAGATTATTTTAATTATATAAATTGATTTTTATAATTTAATTGGTCATTTTAAATGAAATAATCGATTTTCCTAAAGTCCAGATCCTGAAAATAACGAGATTTTAGTATAAAAACTATAGTTAATTAATACTTGTTATATTTATACTCAAACATGTTATTTTTACTAAAAAAACCGTATATTTTGTAATACACTACGTACTGCCATTCAAGCCCACAATTGTGTCGAGACTAGGCCATTAATTGTTATTAAATGTTATGTTGAATGATCATTATGATGAATTATTATTGTGGCCAATTATGAATGATAAACCTAATGATTAGAATGATTATTGATGATTAAATCATGATTAAAAATGAATATAATGGTGATCATGAAAACGGTGTATATTATTAAGGATATCTAGAAGAACTCTAAGATATACCCACTTGTATATTGATGATGATTATTAAGGATATCTAGAAGAACTCTAAGATATACCTCCTTGACCAATTCATAATTCGGGGTTAAAACGTACGTACGGGATCCAGACCGGATATCACCCACCCGACAAATCATTGTTCGGTTGGTACGTAATCCACATGACTCATAGGGTGGATTATCGATTCCTGTATTCTGCATTAAACTATTTATAGTTTAAGGACCTGGTTAGAATTACTGCCTTAGACTAGGAATAGCTAAGAGCTGAATATAAAATGATGTGGCTTTAGATTAAGAATAATTTAAGAGCATTATTGATATATTGAATATCAAATGACTTGGAATAAAATATTGAAAATATTATGAATGTTTGAACCATATATTGTGTGCATGATATCAAATGGTTGATTATGAATTGAAATTCAATTTATGTGGATGTTCGATGCTTTAGATATGCTTACTCAGCTTCATCGCTGAGCGTGTAGTGTGTTTTATTTGCTACACGCAGGTAAACAGAAATATTAATGTGATCCTGGCGGCAGATGGGGCGAGATTGTCAGGATGGATGTGACAAGTTTTGAAATAATTTATGATATGTCAATATTAAATTTGCTTCCGCAATATTGTTAAATACTCCGTACTGTATATGTTATGAAAAATATTATTGAGATTAATAAAGTGTGTTTGAAAAGTTTAAATTTTACGATTACCAAGTTAAATACTTTAGTCCGAATGGGGCTGCAGACCTGGACGAATTAGGGTGTTACAGTTCAGGAGTATTTGGTGTATTTTTTAATGTTCAGAGGTAAATCGTGTAATTTTCAAAGAATTCAAGGGTAAATGTTGCATTTTTTAAAATTCAATGGCAAACCATGCAATTTCTAAACCGTTCAAAGGTAAATAGTGCACTTTTCTTGAAAAGAAAACAAGATCTCTAGTCTCTACACCAATCAATTGTTGTTTTGTTTGGGCAAAGCAAGTTTGATTCCAACTGCGGCAACAGACAAAGCAATTTTTTTCCGGTATCGTATTGAAAAAAAATTGAAATCCACAACAATGAAAGCACCCATGTATACAAATCGTGTACGAAACGTATCAGAATACAGGGAAAAACTTCGAGCGTCTTCGCGCTCTAGAAAAAGAGAGGCAAAGAAAGAGATGAAAAACTTCAAACGTTTTCAAACTCCTAGGAGAAAAGGCGAGAGAACTAGGGTTTATGATAATCTTGATTGATTGATTAATAATGAAAAAAGATTACAATATATAGAGAGTGCAAAAGTACACTAAATGACCTAACAGGCTCATGGGCCCAACCTTAGCATAATTAATAATAAAATAATAATAATAAATAACTAGTACTCCAATTAATAATAAAATCCTTCCATATCATATACTTGGGTACTTGGTTACAAGAAACACACAATCAGAGTCTAAGTACATGTGCTGCATACTATGCAAGAAGTATAGAAAAGTGGATACAACAAAACTACACCAATGAGAGCTCTTCCCTCACCGTTTTCACTAAATCTCTATAATGTGTGTATGTATGTGCTATGGTGACATGATAATAATAAATTTAAATAATTTCTGAGAGCCATCAACAACATCAAAATTTTAACACTTTTAAACCTAAACCCTCCTCCATTACAAAATGATTTAATAAATAAATCTAGAAATTAAACGCATGGGTGGGCATCACGAAGAAGCTAGGAAAAGCCGCTTGGAAGGGGTGGGAAGTCATTTGTACCTTCTCTTGGCTTCTCCGTATGCAACGACCCCCGCAACTGTCATTGCATAGCCAGCGATTCCTATAAATGTGACGGGATTTCGGAATATGAGTATTGAGATCACAACTGCTACCGCGCCTTTTGCATTGCCTAATACCTGCAAGCATAGTAATAAGAATGTTGCCAAAAAAATGTTTTGCATTTGAGTTGTATCATGTATTAAAAAAATGATTTAAATAAAATTTCCAAACGCGTAAAAAAAAAGCAATATTAAAACCAAATACATGTTTTGAAAAACATGAAAGTCTTGTTTCCAATACTATTCAAATATATTTTTTTCAATTTATGTTGGGAGAAATACCAAACCAGCACTAAAACATGCTTCATATACCAAAATAGGACTTTCAATTTTTTATACCAAAATTAGACTTGAAATGCCAAATAATGCTAAAGCATAATGCCAAAAAAGTACAGTAAAATGCCAACACATAATGTCAAATTACAGATATTCGACAACACTCCTATACGGTAATAAAAACTCAAGAAGTCTTATTTTGATATAAACTTCATGTTTTAGTCTTATTTAAATATAATAGTGGTGCCATTTCATTGAGAAAAGATGGGAAAAAGCAGAGGAAAACCAAACCTGAAGTGTCAAAGCACTTGTATGCTTAGTCACCAAAAAGTTCAACAAGTTGGCTCCATAGGCCATTGAGGAATTGACCAAAAGAAGAAGCCACATATATCTATGTTTTGTTGCAAGAGATAGAGTGACATCAACCACGTTCGGCTCCAACACCAGTGTTGCCGGCAGCAGAACCAGAACAGCAATTGGCGACATATAAAGAAGCAGATTCATGGAGTTCAGTTTTTCCCTGAAAAAATCAAAGAGACAAAGCGAATGAAAAAATCGCATTTTTACTGCTATGATACACAAAGAGTTACATATTTGGTAGTTACCCTTCTGAGGAAAGGAGAACACCCTGAAGAACAGACTTGAAGGCTCTCGCAGCAGTTGCACTTATACACATGATGAATCCGTACCAATGGAAGCTCGGTTCCCCCTGCAACCACATCATTCTTTACTGTTAAATCAGCCCACACCAGCTAAACATAGAAGAATATCTGAACCAACATATATATAAGAGCTTGCAAAGGAGGTCTTTTTAGGTAGGATGGAATCTCAAAGCTTAATATGTTGTCAAAATCTTCTAAACTCAAATGAGTGGATCAAAGTGCTTATGATGAATTGTCTAAAATATCTTTAAGAAAGACGTGATCGAGTACAAACTCATTTAAAAGACTGACATTTTAAACCCATTTCTTAAAAACGAGATTTTTTTTTTTCAGAAACGGGAAAACTGGTTTCGGACAAAAGGAGCGGGATGTTGGCCAACTTGCAGTACAGCTCATTTTGATGCCAGACTTGGCAATATTTATTTCAAGACCAAGTCTCCAATTGGGCAAATTTCTATCTTTATCCTCTCACAAGCATACCCACATAAGCTAATACTTGCAGGAATCCAAGAACTGCAACTACCAGTTCTTCTAGCCTATTGCCTGTTTGGTAACTTCAGTTCCAACCCCATCTTCTGTTCCAAAATATTGTTTTCTTGAGATTTTGTAACATATTTTATAAGATCAGATTTTTTGTTTGGGAAGATGAATTCTTTTTAATGTCAACGAGAAGAGCCTTACTATTAGCATTGATTTTTTTTCCAAAAGGAAATTCCGAAATGAATCCCAAATTTCAGACGAGAAACAACAAATCCCTGTTTGAATTTCCAGATCTCTATATAGGATTGAGTCAAATTAAGGGAATTAGGGGAGAAATTGGGATATGAAATCAGGAAAGATCAGCATTAATTAGGCATTTAATAAGAGACGGGATTGATTGATTGATTAAAAGATATAATTAAGAGAGGAGGGAAATACAAACCCCACTGGCAATGACGACGCCGGCAACGACGGGGACGAGGGCAGCATAGGTAACCCAAGCCTCGCTCTTCCGGGTGACGAGGTAGGCGAAGAGGGCGGTGAAGAAAGGGGTGGTGGCGCCAACGGCCTGGTTGAAGGAGACGGGGAGGTAGCGGAGGGAGATGTTTCCGCCGACGACGGAGGCGCAGAAGACGACGCTGAGGGTGGAGATGCGGAGGAGCTGAGATCTGGACTTGATCCGCTGGAAAGGGACGACCTTGAGGAAGAGGATGGAGACGTAGCTGAGGAGGGCGCAGGCGGTCATGTGGCACATGGTGAGGAAGATCGGGAAGGCGAAGCCGTAGTTGGAGAGGAGGAATTTGTTGAGGAGGAGGACGCCGATGTTGGAGGAGTACCACAGGATGATTAGGGTGAAGATGAAAAGGGCGTGCTCGCTCTGCGACGACGACGACGACGGAGTTGAGAAGACCATTGTCGATCCGCGGCGGCGGCGGCGATTCTCGATCCTCCGGTGCCGGTGGTGGGAATGTGTATTGTCGTTATAAAGAAGAAGAAGAAGAAGAAGGGAGATTGGTGTGATGCGGGAAAGAGGGCATAGTGACTGGTGGGTGGGTGGGTGGGTGTGTGTTGGTTGGAAGCTCCGGATCAAATTCTTCCTCGGAGCATGCGGGTAGTGTTTTTGTTTTCTTGGTCATAATTTTGAAATCTTGAATTTCAAATAACACGAAAAGGTGCATGAATTTCAAATTATGCTTTGTTATGAATGAGAAGAATTTTACCTAAATCTAAATTCAAAATTTTTGACTTTCCCAAACATGGAATTTGAGCCGAATCCGAATTTAAAATCCAAATCTATGTTCTCAAACATACCATAATTGCTTTTTTAAATTAGATGTTTTTTCATATTTACTTCTTCGTCTGAGTGTATCGAATTACTCAAATACTCCCTCCTTTCAATAATAAACTTCTCGTTCACTATTTACGAGGTCAAAATTTATTTATTCCGTCGGCCTATTTTTGTGTCCTAATTGTTAAAATAATATAGTCATGTCATTTCTAATTTTATAGTTTTTAAATACGTAATTTTATTTTTTAATTTCATACCATTTTTCATATAAAATGATTTGAAAATAACATCAGTCAAACATCGTAACGCGCAATGATAACTTTATTTATGGACGGAGAGAGTATTATGTTTGTTGGCTTTTGTTTATGCATGTCATTTGTTTAACTTTTCATTATATTGACATTAATTGGAAGGCTAATGCATAATCTTACATGCATTGATCATAAGTCCGAACATGTATTCTAGTGTCTTCTTGACGAACAACACAACAACAATGATTATGGTTGATTACTTGAATTTCTACCACTGACAACAATTGTGGATTTGGTTTTGGTGTGCGGCAAACTCCAATGAATAAACGACACATCAATAGCGACCCCTGTCATTTCTAACACAACAGTAAAAAGACTATCCGTGGAAGGATACCCATAAGGTAGATGGACCAAAATAAGATTAAAAGAGATGTCTTATCCTAAAATAGGAGTTGAAATTAAACTTTTCTAAATAGGAGTAAGTAACTTAACAATGACTCTGATTTTTTAACTCCATAAACTAAATCCCAATCTAAACTCTTTATTCGTACACGTTTCAATCTCAACAAATTAAAAGCCGCCTCATGCATGAATTTTCAAATCCTTTGTTTCCAATTAGGACCTCCCATGCCCCTCTTCCATGCAATTTCCTCTTTATTTAATTATTTTTTTAAAATTATAAATTTTAATACTCTTTTACACACCCATACACTCCAAGCCTCTAGGTCTCAACCCTCGATAACTCTAGAAATTAGAAAAAATTCAGCAATGTCAAAAATGTAATACCTTACATATAGAAACTTAGTAAATTGTTATATTAAAATGTCCATATAGTGTCAAAAACGACCACACTAAATGTCAAATATAATCATATAATGACAATCATGGCAATGTATAAAGTCATACTTTTGAATGCATAATGCTAAACAAATTAAATAGATAATTCCAACATTGATATTGTATGGTGTCATTCCTCGTAATGTATAATGAAAGATATGTCAATATATAATGTTATATATCATACTCCCTCCGTCCCAGAGTATTCGTCCAGTTTTGACTTTTGGAACTGTTTATCTAAGCACTTTGACTCATCAAATTCTCTCAATGTGTAAGCCTAAATATAGTGAAGTGTGATCTTGTTTGATTTGTATTAACATATAGATTATTAATATATAATTTCTATAATTTTTTAATATACAAATTACAAGATAAAGTTGATTAAAGAAGTGTATTGGATGGTGCGTAAAAATGAAAGTGGACAAATACTATGGGACGGAGGTAGTATATGTTAATGCATAATATCAAAAAGGGGTAAATATAAAAAAAAACTCTACTACTCCGTATTTGCCAACACCATAATCATTCAGTTTCAATACCAATTTTTTTTAAAAAAAAACCCTAAGTAAATTCATAGTTAAAATTTAAAATCACCTCTTATTTCAAATTGAACATAAAATTGAATTCAAACTTATCCATGGCTTAAACAATTAGTGCCAATTTTACGAAGTAATCCCTAAGTAAATTTTTAGAAATTTAAAATTGAATGTAACTACTTATATCGAATTGAATATAAAATTGAATTCAAACTTACGCAAGGTGATGGAAGCATCTTCGCTCAGAGGCTAGGAGACGAAAATGTTGGAGAGGGCTGGAAGGAGACCGTCTGTATTGAGAGAAAGGGAGATGGACGGAGTGAGATTATATTGAATCATCGTCGCACGGAGATGACGGTTGCGGCAGAGAGGGGTTTTAGATCGGGGGTGAAGGCAGCAGCAGCTGGGATGGAATGAAGAAGAAGACCGGCGACGGTGCTTGAGATTGAAGATCACGATCGGAAATGGGCGATAACTTTGATCGCTAGGAAACAGCACGGCTAATCAAAACACATATTTAAGTAATTACTCATATTTAAAGGAGTTTAAGTTTGAACTCCTATTTTAAGGATATAATCTACCTATTTAGGAGGTTCTCTTTACCCATGAACAAAGAACCACAAATATAATATTGGATATTTAAATACTAAATATAGAAAATCTCTATTCTAAAGAACTAATTATAGAATTTATTATTTTTTGGTCTATCTTTAGCCTTTAATACACTTAAAATTTGGGAAAATTTTTTTTGATACTCCCTTCGTCCCAAATTCACATTTATTCTCTTCAAAAAAGTTTCATAATTATTGTTCTCTCCCTTCCCAATTGTATAGTTTAGTTTCAGTATTATTTGATACTCCATTCATTCAAAATTAAATTATCTGTTTATTATTCCATGGTCAGACTTCATTCATTTTTTTCCTATTTTTTTACTCATTTGATAAAATAATATTGTCATGTCACCTCTTGTTTCAAAAGTTTTTATATAACTTTTTAATACATAAACTTTATTATTAAATTCATCTTCAATTCTTTAATAAATTATTCTAAAATTAACTGCAATCAATCATCATAAAGTAAAACATGTGATTTAAATCGAAACGAAGAAAGTAAAACATAATTATAAATTAATCGAACTTTCCCTTGACACTTGAGTGGTAGGAAATCCACTCCCCAAAATGTATGAGGAATTCCACTCAAGTTCTAGTCCTAGCAGAGATGAAGGTATTGGTTCATTATGCATCATAATTTGAAAAAAGTATGAACATTTATTATATTGTAATTGAGAGAATAGCACCAAAAAATTATAAATTTATTTTTTCTAAGAAAATTATTAGTGTAGTTGTATTAAAGAAATTTCTAAGACTAAATTAACTAAGTAAAAAAAATTCCAAAAAATAAGAATTTATAACTTAAAAATACTAAATAGATTAATTAATAATAAATAAAAATGTATGGTTTTTTGATTAATTTTATGGAGTGCATTTTAGCATAAACGGTTCAGGATATGAAATATGATTCCCAATTTTTTGAGAACTTGTCATGTAATTCTTTCATCCTAGAGTGTTTGTCCACTTTTAATTTTTTGGTCAAAATTAAAAAACATTATCCTCAAAGTAACTAAAAGTGATATTAGATATTGATACAAATTAAAAATATAATTTTATTATATTTATTATATAAGATGTTTTTAAAATATTATTTTATCTATTTAATATACGATATCTATTTTATTTTATAATAGGTTAAAGGTTTAAAATAACTACCTACAAAAAGTAAAAATTAGACAAATATTCAAAGACGGAGGTAATATTTTGTACCAACATTACCCTTATTATGAAATGGGGAGTATTATTATTTTGACATGAAACAATAAAGCTTGGTGTACCGTTGACACAACCCAAACTTTAATTATCAAAAGACTAGTGACACTTAAATATTTCGTAATAAGGAGTCATAATTCAGATAAGACCAGTAAATTGGACTGATATTACTCCTTTCAGAGGCCATAAGCTTATCATAATTCCATCCCAGTGCAGTTGCTAGGAATCAAACCCGGATATTGCTCCTTGGGCACCCTTTGTCCTATTAACTGCGCAACGTCTACCGGCAGATCAACCGTATTAATAGCTTTATAGTGTGTGTGTGGGCACATTTCATGTGGGAGTAATCACAATTTTAAAATAAAATCGAATAAAATATGTTTTTATGCAATTTTGAGAACTCAATTCTTATCAACCAAGTATATATTACAGTATATGAATGTAATGATTCAACTATAAGAATTAGATAATCGGTAATTATGTTGATGAGATCATAAAGACCTAGCAAAATATATTCGAATATGATTACCCGAATCAAATAATCTAAAACAAAATTCAAAGTAACTTGAATCCCTAGTCAAATCAGAACCAAACCAAATTGAGTGAATCTGAATTGGACTTGAACCAAATAAAATCTGAGTCATACACAAACAAATCAAATCATAACTGAACCAAATGATACATACACCGAATCATAACTAATTTGAATGACACTCGAACTAAATCAAACCTAAATCATACTTTTCCTGTCCAAAAATAAATTGTATAAATACTATTCACACAGTTAAATTTTATTAATTTGTATGGTTATTTTCATTACTCATTTCAAAATGAAAAGTAGTCATATCATCTCTTGTTTTGAAAAACTATTATGAAGTTTTAAATTCATAAATTTTATTTTTAGATTTTATACTTCGAATCAATAAAATTAAATTAAAAATAAAATTGGTCAAATATTATAAATCGGAGTGGAAAATTCAATTTCGGAGGGAGGAAGTATCATACATGTGTCATGAGTAAAGAACTAAGTATTTACCTCTTTTGACAAACATCCATATTTTTAGGGATATGGAACACATGTTCACACATTCACTAAGGATTTGTCAATTGCTATGTTTGGTTTATGGGAATCGCAAGGAAAAAGAAAAAAGAAATTTTTTTCCCCTCTTTTTTCTCATCAAGTTGAGATAAATCTTGTATCTCATTCTCTTAATTTTGCCTTCTTATTATCTTTTCTTCCCACTTTTAATTTCTTTTCTTCTCTAATACTATGTTTGAATTGGTTCAGGAAATTTGGAATGAAAAAAATTAGTTTCTTTCATTTTCACAATAATTGTAGGAATTTGGTTTTTTCTCCTTTTAATATATTTTACCTTCTCAATTTTTTTCTACCTTTTTTTCTTTTCTTCTATAGTCAAACAAGAAAAATTGTTTTCCCTCACATTTTCTTTTACATTACCTTTCAAAATTTTCACCAATCTGTAACATCCACCTGAAACGATTTCTACATGAAGCAGTATGTACCCCAAAAAAGTCAGACCATGAACCCTATCTAAACCGAACCACACCCGAGTTGAACGAAACTAAATTAAACCCAAATTCATATATATATATATATATATTCAAATCAATAAAAGCTATCAATAGAGACACCCTAGGTTCAACCAAAATATCCAAAACTTCAGGTTTTCAACAAATCCATGTTTCATACCAATAAATTGGAGTTTTGGTTCAAACGAGTGCCACAAAGACCAATCTCTCAATGTCCTAAAAATAGCCAGAGAAGATGGGAGAAGCAGTAAACTAAACAGCCTCCACCTAATCGATACTTCAGTTCGATACAATCCAGAGTAAGTGTCCGAAAGAACAGTGAATGCCCTACAACCAAAGGAACAAAACACCCACGATTCATCAACAAGCCGCGACAGATTTACCCTCCACAAGCATTCACAATAAGTATTTTCGAAGGATCTTGAAAAAATATTTTTTTTTCACACAGAAGTTTTCTTCGTTTCCCACGGGAAATACCCCAGGAAACTATACTTTCAAGGAAAACACAGTGTAGACAACATAGGCTTTCAATAATTAGAATGTCATCCATATATTGATAATTTATCATATTATTCATAGAGTTCAAACTTCAGCAGAACATTGTACATTGCTAGAAATAATCAATTGAGAACAAAGAACAAGAAACCAGATAAGCATTGTATAACTATAATGGCCGCAAGGAAAAAAAACTCAGAAACATTGAACTGGGATATTAGTATATTACACAGAAACAAACATACCAACTAGTTCAGGACACCTTGATGGAAATATAATGATGAATTTTATCGGCAGCCTGCGTAATAAATAAATAAATAACCAGGTATTAGAACTTAATGTGTATAATTTTATCAAACAGTCTGACCACTGTTTGATAAAGCTTCTCTTTCATGATACTCAATATCTTCTTGTCGCAAAGGACACCAGAAGCCAGCTTCCACTTTGCTAAAGCGGCTCTAATCCAATTTGATTTTAAAAAAATATTACTCCCTCTTTTCCCAAAATGTTTGCCACATTATGCAAAACGAAGTGAAATTTCAAGTTTTTTTTAATTCATTTTATTTGAAGACTGGTACAGAAATAAAAAAATAAACTTACATATTTGAAAACTACGTCAAAAGTTCTTCAAAACAAGGGATGACCAAAAAATTATTTTATCAAATAATCAATGAAAACAGGCAAATAAACAAAAATTCCCGTCAATTTTGAATAGTGAATTGTGGCATTCTTTTTGGGACGGAGGAAGTATAGAATCGTAAATTCGTCCAAAATTTGCAATGTGATGGAAAGTAGGATTGGCACAATGAGGAACCCAAGAAACAATGAAATGTCACTCGTAAACACAATTGAATATAAGGGTTGAAAGAGGCAAAACTAAGGAACCTCAGATTGATGCTATTTTGCAATCAGCTTCCTTCAAGGCTCGCACGAGATGTATAATACGGTTTTGGAGTTTTTCATTTTCTGCGGCGAGATTTTGAGCCTCTTTCAGACTCTGAAAATCAAAATCTTAATGTCAATTCTGCTACCCATAATTAATTAATACTGTAAAGAAAATAAAAAAACAGAAAGAACATTGCAGATAAATGCCTTCTCTTTCTCTTTGAAAAGTTCTGTTTTTGCTTCATCCAACTTCAATTGCAATTCAAGAACCAGTTTTGCTAGTTCCTCATTATTTCTAGAACCTAAACAAAAATGAAAACACTGCTTAGAATGTCATTAATTAGGGTTTTTCAAATTGGGGATGATGATGATGATGAAGGGAGAGAAATACATACTGTTCTTGCTGACAATGGAGGCTTCCAGCCTTGCCAAACGGTCCTTAAAGTCCAAAGAAAGGAATAATTAGCAAAATCAGAACGGGGAATTGACAGTGTAGCAAAAATATGTGCTCGTGATAAAATGGAACGAAATGAAAACTGATAGGGATTAAAATAGAGATGAATTTGCAGAAACATAAGTGCGGGAAGGAGAACCTCAGCCTCTGAAGCTCTTCGGTAGAAAGGTTTCAAGATTTCTTGAAGATTGCCAGCGGCATCCGCCATTTTTATTGTGAAGGCGATTCCAAACCTAGCGCTAGTCAGCTTTTCCTTTTTACATTTAAAATGCCCTCTCTAAATATTTCTTATTTGGTGAACTACCATGGTGAATTGACTGAAATGTTCAGGTGTGTATGAGTGATACGCTTCTTCTTAGAAAATGAAAAGGAAGACCATTTAACGAATCGTAAACGGTGTTTCAAGTTTAAATTTAAATAAAAAATCAAAGAATGGGAAAACGACGTGGGAAGAGACTAAACAAAAACCCTCCAAAAATATCTTCCTTCATCGTGCGACCATTGAGTTTTCGATCTCTGTGTGCTCTATCTCCCCTCTTCAACATCTGCAAAAGTTGATCGAAACCCTACCCATCCAAAGTCATCGATCTCGAAAAACCTTGAATTTCTACAATGAGGGCGAAGAATACTTCTGTGTCTTACTCCAAGAATGGAAACGATGAGTATCATGTAAAAGAGACGATGACAAAGCATAACGGAAGCTCAAAGGCCACACAAGGAACATTTGAGGTCAGAAACTTGATTATAAATGAATTAATCTCTCTCCAAATAACCACTGGACAATGGTTTATGAATTTTGGTCTGGTCGACTACATCGATCAACTAAAATAAGTGTCGACCAACTGGTCGCACTAATTGAATGTCATTCCGTATGAAATTCGTTCACATTATATGTCGTTATATAGGTTCCGGCGATCAAGACAAAGGTAAATGTAAAGAACTTTCCAGATAGGGGTGTACACCAGTCCGGAACCGGAAAAATCGGAAACCCGGAATTCCCTAAAGCATATGACTGGAAACCGGACCGATTAGATTCTAGTCCGGACCGGTCCAGACCGGTTTTTTACGGTCCGGTCCGGGTAAAAACCGAAAAACCCGGAATTTTTTTTCTAATTCTTTTTGTCATTTTTTTAAACTTGAATTTCAAATTTGTAGCTTGATTTGATTTGATTTCAACCCTACATTTAGTTTTTATATCTATTGGGTGTGTTTCAAGAAATTATAATAATATAAAATATTTTTATCAACAATATAAAATCATTTTTATACTTCCATTAGTTTTGAGATTTCAAAAATATTATAAAGTTGTAGATTAAAGTATTTTGGATTTAACAAGTCTAATTTATATGCCAAAGTATTTAATACTTTAAATCGAAAGATTCTACTTCAATTTTTGGAAAATAATTTTAGTTTTTTAGAATTAAGGATATTCTTGGGTAAAAGTCATTGAAATGAATTAAAAAATACAAATTACATTTAAAAAAATTATACTACATATTAAAGTAAGAAGAACAAATGAAATATACAATCGTATTTATAATTATATGTATGCTCCTTATTATAGGTATTAATTTTTTTTAAAAAATAGATAATCCGGTCTTACCGGTCCAACCCGGAAACGATCCGGTCTTGGACCGGAATTTTACCGGTCCAAAATCTTTAGACCGGAGACTAGTCCGAAATTTTACCGGTCTAGCCCGGAACCGGTTTTTCCGGTCCGACGACCCGGATTTTGTACACCCCTATTTCCACATATGAAGCTGACTGTGATCATGAAGTCTTCCCTGCAAGACTTCCAAAAATTGATGAAAGAAAAGTTATGCAATCATATGAAAATCCTAGAAGATTGTCAACATAGAATCCAGAAAAAAAATATATCGTCAAAAACATATAGATATATGTCGACTCATTCATAATGTCGACCTAGACTTTAATAATGTCAACCCTCGGTTTTCGACTTTAAAGTGCCAACTATGTTTAATTATGTTAACATTATTGTAACAATCCGACACTAACATAAATCAGAATGTCGATATATGTGGATCGACGCTTCTCAACATCTAATCGACATATAAAATTTACAGTAAAAAAATTGATATATGTCGACTGAAAATGTTTCGCTCTCCGCCGGCTATGGTTAATTATACAATCCTTACTGTAAAATTAGATGAATGTGTACCTACGTTGAAAGAGCCTTTCACCGATTAGTGGAGACAATTGAAAGACGGCGAACAACGGAGAACAAACAGCGAACAACGGCGACCGATGATAGGCGTCAGAGTATGCAATCGATTTTGAATAGAAAACGATGAGAAATGGCGCCCCCCCGAAACGAGAATAACGAATTTCTTGGCTAGGGTAGAAACGCTCTGGTGCTGCAACGGTATGATAACGATAACCTAGCGAAAACAGCTTAGGGAAGAAGGATAAAAGAGTAATTTAACTTTGATAGAAAGGGTATACTAATAAATATAATCCCTTTTAGGATAGAATTATAAATTTCTTTCGTTTTAGGGCATTTTGAAAAAG